ATGGGTGTGGATCTGTTCTATTTTTCTATCTCTTCCATCTCTCTTTTCCCTCAGGCTTCTGCACCCACTTTCCCAAATGGACGAGATCCCTCTTTGTCCTCCAACCTTACTTCTAATCTCTTTCTCTTCTTCCACTTCTCTATTTTCTCCTTAATCCATTTTTAAATTTTAACACCAAGGACAAAATTAACACATTACAGACTTATATATTGCATATAATTATCTAGTTTGTTTTACATTTTGTTCTATAATCAGGAATCTAGTTCACATGGTTAAAAGTTGCAAATTAAGGATTAGTTCAGTTTGTTATTTTATAAGCTGTGTTTGATACTACAGACAAAATTGACATAATTGTTCTAAACGGCTGTTGGTTGTGATAATTCATGACTGAGACTAACTAAGGGTCATGGAAAATACAGTGTGTGGCACAGTGACAAGGACCATGGACTGGACAAAACGAGCAACAACTTCTCATCTCCAACAAACCAAAGAGGTAAAATCTTCCAATATATTCAAAACCCAAAAGCCAGCTACACCTGGAAGATACCACAGGGAATTAATCATCACCTGCTGGCCCTAAATACTACCAACAAAGCAACTCACCATAGCTTGCTGTTCCCCTCAATTAAATATATACACATACATTTCTTCCAACTGACTTCAGGGCTTTGGCTGGGTGAATTAACCCAGTCAAGGACACTTTTTAACTCTGCTTGCTTCTAGATTTCTCAATACAAGGAGTCTTCTATCCAGTTTGCAATTGAGTTTTCTGCAACATCTGGTGCGTTGACCAGGAAGACATCTTACTGGCCATTTGAGACACTGGTGTAGGCCTGCTGGCCACTGTGGGGCCCAACCCCGATCTATAAACGAGACAGCATGCCTTCTGAACTTTTCTCAGAGTCTCCTCAGCAGTCAAATGAGGCGACTCAAGGTAATCAGAACACAACCAGAGCTGGTCCTTGGATAAGGTAGGGCTACCCCAGCTTATGTCCTGCAGTTGGCCTATTTACCTGCTTGTTAACTGCCCTCATTGTGGGCAAAGGAGGAAGTGATCATCCCTTAGTATCTGTCTGACTCCTGTTTCTGATCCAGTTCTTGTTTAGTCAGAGAAGTCAGCTGCAACTGCTGTTCCAGTTAGACGTGCCCCTGGCATTGGGGATGGGAATGTATTAATCTCTGTGTGCCCGTGCATGCGGATGTGAACCGAGTAAGAGCACCCAATGAAAGCCATGGACTGGTCTGCATGTGCACCAAGACTGGGAAGCACTGGTTGTGGTGCTTGCATGGGCAGTCACCTGCAGTACTGTGGTGACAACATATGACATATTGGAGACTTTGTGTTCTCTTTAGTTAGGTTACACCTAAGTCCCCACAAGGGGCGCAATCAGACAGGCAGCTGAATGGTCACTGCTCTGGCAGTGGCTTCTATCTGTTGTTTGTGACTCCATTCAGTGATGCCTTACACACACCAGAGGGATTTAGAATGGGCACCAACCAGAGTAAGCCTACTGTGTTAGACTACATGATAGAAAATTTCAACAAAGACTTTTTGGCAGGCTGCAAAGCAGTTCCTTACTTACTGAGAGAACCACCGGCTGCATTTATACCCTACTTGACCACCAGAGGGAACCCTGAACTTGGAAATCATTCATTGAGTCGGGCAAAATGATTGATCCTGCACAGAAAGGCCACCCTGATCAATTGATTGATTCATGGGTGGAACTAAGTAAAAATCCCCTGCCATGGCTCCAGGCTTGTGCTTTCCAGGAAAAGACAACTCTTGGTTATTAAAGATGCTCAGCAAAATAAAAAAGCCCCAAAGACTAAAACCAAAAAGGTTTATCCTAAGCTGCCTGATGACCCTGGTGATGACTTCTCTCCTCTATACATGGGAGGCCACACAAATTTGCAAGACCCTCCACCACCACTTCCCTGGAGGCAGCTACCACCTGCACAGCCTGATTCTACTGCTCCATCCCTGCTGATCACCACCTACTCCTGAGGAGGTACCTGAACTGAACCCTGCTAGTCACTGTCTCTGCTCATCACATCTCCAGGTGCCTGGGGAGACCCAATCAACCACTTGCATACTGCTACCAGCCTTGTAGTTCTAATGATCTTCTCAATCAGAAATATCATACCCCACCATGCACTCAGATAAGCCCCACGTCATGGTTGAGCTCTTGACCTTGATCTTCTAGACACATCAACTAATTTGGGAAGACTGCCAACAAATTCTCTTGATCCTTTTTCCACTAAGGAGTGAGCTCGTATTTTAGAGCACAGACAAACTTGGCTAAGCATTAAAGTTCCAAAGGCTGTTGTTAACTCAGAGGTGCAGATGAACACCACCTTCCCTGCTAACCTGGCAGATTGGGACTTTAACACTGAAGACAGTAGTACAGCTTTGACTAGCTATCAAGATGTACTTCTGATGGGAATAAAAGCAGAGAGGGAAGCCCGTCAACATGTCAAAGATAGATATGTTATCTAAGAGCCAAATGAAAGCCCTATGAGACTATGTGAGGCTTATCAGACTTACACCCCATTTAATCCTAAGGCTCCTGAGCATCCCCAAATGATGAATTCAGTTTTTGTATCATAGTGTGCCTATGAAGGAAATTCAAAAGATTGAAAATTTCTCAGGCATGAATATTACTAAACTACTCCAAATAACTCAAAATGCTTTTATAAACCAAGAGAGGGAAGAAAAGAGAGAACATCAGACTGTTTTCTTTGCTAAAAGTCATCAGACTGTTTTCTTTGCTCCTCTTTCAGAAAAAACACTTCCAGAAGGGTTACAATCTGGTCAACAGTGGTACTGAAACCAAGGCAACAAGACTTCACTGGGTTCCCAGCTCCAAACAGGCAGCCGTCTCTATGTGCTGGCCCCAAACCAATGTGTCAGATGCAAGCAATTCAGACACTGGAAAGACAAATGTCTCCACCACCTGAAAGACCAGTCTTTGGTTTGTTTGTGACTCGATTCAAGGATGCATGACATATATTATAGGGAATTAGAATGCCACAACATTGAACTTGGTACCACTATCTGAATCCCTGCTCTTGCTTGATGGCACTGATTAGGAAAGACTGGGTTCTACCAGATTAGGCCTCCAGGAGCCTCCGGTCACAATGAAAGTCAGGGGAAAATCAATGATTTTTATGGCAAACAGCAGGGCCAAGTATTCGGTTGCCACTCAACCTGTTGCCCCTTTGACTTCTCATCAAATCCAAGTAATGGGGGCTACTGGCACATCTGCTATGAAAGGGTTTTCCCAAAGCAGGTCCTGTGAGCTTGGAGGACATCTTATCGAACATGAATTTTTATACATTCCTGAATGTTCTGTTCCTTGCTGGGCTGAAATCTCCTGTCAAAATTGAGAATGACAATCTCCTTTGCTCTCAGTCAACCTGCCACCCTCACCCTTGAGCCACTAACCTTGGGTTGATATTACCTTTAACTGTGCCCTGAGAAGACTAGTGGCGACTCTATCAAACAGAAATGACTGAACACTATAATCCTGAGTTCTAAAAACTATTTCCAGAAGTTTGGGGTGGAAAACTCACCCCAGGAGTTCTTAACTATCCCCTTTAATGACTGCACTTAACCAGGAGCTGTTCCCCTTACACTTAATATCTCGTGTCTCTAGAGGCCTGCCTTGGGATTCAGCCCCACATCTCCAAGCTAAAACAAGCTGGGATTTTAGTACACTGCCAGTCACCCTGGAACACTGCTGCTGCCAGGTAAAAGCCCAATGGGGACTATCAGCTGTACAAGGATCTCCATGCCATCAATGCAGCCATAGCAACATTACACCAAATGGTCCCAAACCCATATGCTCTTCTGGGCCTGCTTCCCACTGATGTTGCCTAGTTTACCTGCCTGAATTTAAATGACCCTTTCTTCTGCCTGCAAATAGCACCTGTTAGTGATCTTCTTTTTGCCTTTGAATGGGAGGATCCTAACACAGGGCATAAGGGACAACTCAAATGGACACTCTTTCCTCAAGGGCTCAAGAATTCTTCCACGCTGTTTGAGGAAGCTTTGGCAGTTGATCTAGCCAAGCTCCCCTAAAACAGTTTCCACTGTACTCTTCTACAGTATGGCAATTATATATCCTGATCAGAGACCCTAATAAAGAGATCTATTGGAGGGGAACATAAGCCCTCTTCTGTCATTTATGTAACACTAGGTACAAAGTCTCCTGGAAAAAGGTTCCAATCTGCAAGCAGAAAGTTAGATTTGGAAAAGGAGCTCCAACATTTGGGCCCAGAAAGAAAAAAAAAAGGAAGTCATTTGCTCCATCCCATGGCCTGACAACAAATGGACTCAGAGAGTTTTTAGGGGCAGCTGGTTTCTGCTGAATTTGGATACCTGGTTATGCAGAAAAAGCCAGGCCACTTTATGACGTGTTAAAAAACAAACCCACAACTGAAAGAGAAGTAATAAATTGGACTTTAGAAGAGACTGAGGCATTCAAACAGATGGAAAAGAATCTAGCCTCAGCTCCAGCTTTAGGGATTGCAGATATGACTCAGCTCTTCAACTTGTTTGTAGCCAAGGAACAACATGTTGTCTCAGGGGTCCTGACTTAAATGGTGGGACCCTGAGAAAGACCGGTCACCTACTTGTCCAAGACTTTAGACTCTGTATCCAGAGAGTGGCCTCCCTGTTTACAGTTATTGGAGCAAACTGCCATCCTGATTAAAGAGACAGACAAATTAATTTTGGGACAAAGCCTGACTGTCCAAGTGCTGCACACAGTTCTTGAGCTTCTCAACAATCAGGGCTATAGGTGGCTGTTTAACAGCACCCAGCACCAAGGACTGCTTGTCAGGAATCCCCAACTCATCTTCCATCCAGTAAAGACTTTAAAGATTTTAAATCATGCCACCTATTTGCCCATAAATCTTAGGCAACCAGATCATGATTGCTTAATGATTGCTTAATCATGATTGCATTAATGAGCCAGCTCTTCACCAGCCACCCTTACCTCCAGATGGAGCCTTTGGCAGATGGAAGTATCTTTGTTAAAGACGAACAACACTATGCTATTGTAACTGCTGAGGCAGTGCTGTTCGCCAGAACCGTTCCCCAAAATTGGTCAACTCAGTGGACTGAGCTTTGGCATTCATAGAGGCCCTCCACTGAGCAAAAGATAAGCAGGTGAACATTGACACAGATTCCCAGCATGCCTCCACTGTAGTCCATGTCCATGGAATATTGTTCAAGGAATGTGGACTCCTCACCGCTGAAGGAAAACAAATTTAAAATGAAGATGAAATCTCTCAATTTCTGACCATGGTTTGGAAGCCTAAAAAAGGTAACTGTTATCCATTGCAAAGGACTTCAGAAAGTAAATGACATTGTTACTTCTGGAAATCATTTAGTGGATGAGGCTGTTAAACTGACTGCTGAGGCCTCAACTTGGAGAGATCATGATTTGGCCCAGAATTTAGAAACTCAAGAAATTCCAGCAAAAACTGTTCTTAACTTGCACAAAGGCCCTCTCCATTATACTGAAGAAGAAATGGGCAAAACAGGAAGGAGCTAATGGGAGCCCAAATGATGTCTGGGCCCCACCAAACAGTCAGATGATCATTCCAAAAAGTTAGCTTTCACCTGGCGTCACAACATCACCCACAGAGGAAAGTTTGCCATGACCCATTTGCTGGGTTGATATTATTATATCCCCAATTTGTCAGCAATTTGTGCAGCCACTAGCAAAAATTCAAATCTATGCAAGGACTGAGGCCTCAACCGGCCCTTGGCCACTGCCTGGAATTCAACACACAGAACTCTCTCCATTTGAGGATCTCCAAATAAATTTTATTGACTTTAAGCCAGGACTGCAAGTATTTGCTAGTTCTTGTTTGCACTTATTCTGGCACTCCCAACAAGAATTTAAAAGGCCCCTGAGGTACACAGAGTATTGTTAAGAGACATTATTCCCAGATAATGGGCAGACTATTGGCTCTGGGTCCCTCTTTTAGTCCTTTCCTACTGAGCTTTAAGTGTCACTCACAATAATTCTGAACTTAATGCAACTAGTACTGGGGATCACCTGCTCCAGCCACATCCCATAATGGTATGGGGGAAAACTCCCCGCTTTTTAGGTTCCAGTAAAGGCCAGAAAGCTAAGTGTATAGATGTGCTGACTGTCATCGCAGGTTCTCTGGCAGCCCTCCTCGGACTTTGTGATAACAGGTTAAACCAAGTGTTTGATAGCACCAAAAAGAGTCTATGTGCACTTGCTTTTCTGACACCTGACCTCTCTGGTTATTTAAGACAAGAGGGACCTGCATATGCCCATCAGTCATGGCAAAATGTGACCCAGAGATAATGCCCATATTAGCTGGGCTAGCAATAGTAGTGAGTGTGACACTCAGGGCTACAGCTGTAGGTATAAACCAACAGCAGTACTCACCGTTAGGCTCTCAAATTGCTGGAGATTTTTGTCAACATGCAAACCTCAGGAGACACACTGCAGGACCAAACAGACTTCTTGGCTGTAGTTCTCTGAAATCAAAGATTCTGAAGATTCTCCAGATCTCCTGAAAGCCCAGCATGGAGGTACCTCCCTATTTTTAGAGAAGGAATACTATTATTATGCCAACAAGTAAGGAATAATATGGGGAAACTCTTGTCAACTTTGGGAACATCTCAAATATAGGGTTCCAAATCTTATGGAAGGTTCTTCCTGGTGGGGAGCTTTTAATTTCTCCTCTAATGGGCTGGAGCCATTCTGGGACCTGTGATGGCTATTTTGGCAAGTCTCCTTTTATGTCCTTGTGTGATTTATATCCTGACATCTGTTTTATCCAATCTCTTGGAAGCTATACACCATCAACTCTTTATACAAGTTACTTTCTCTTACCAGCTCCTTAGTACTGAAGAGATCAGGGAAACTGAGGATGAAGACTGTCCTCTATAGCAAGATTGGGGGAAATGTAAGGACACAATTATATGATCAGTAAAGATACAGTTATAGAATTTTAAAAAAACCTATGGACATGTTATAGCAAGTTAAAATCAAATAGTAGCCTGTGCCTACACTCCTGCTGCCCGTTATACAAACACCCTGCTAAACTCAGTCAGCCTTGACTGTCTGGGTCCAGCTGCCTTTCTTCTGAAAATGTGCTGGGCCAATTTGACTATTCTCAGTTTGTGTTTCCCTCAGTAAAAATATATATGCATATTATATATTATATTATAAACATATAATATAATATATAATATTATAATATATTATAAACGTATAATATAATAATAATATTATAATATATTATAAATATTATATAATATATATTTGTATAAATACATATTTTTTCCCAACTGACTTCAAGGACTTTGGTTGGAGCATAATAACCCAGTTAAGGACATTTTTTAACTCTGCTTGCTCTGCTTGAACCCCACCTCCAGCCCCAGGATATTCCTATGTTGTGATAAACAATTCCTTTTAAGGAAATGTATTTTGAGTTAGTTTACCTGACAAACATGACTTAATTCAGTCCAGGTAACCAATGTAATGTCTTGTACTTCCTGCTTGTAAACTATATTTAAACTGGACTGAAAGCTGGCTCTTTGCTGGTGATTTGGACACTGCCAGTTGTTCCCCAGCCTTCCAAGATTACAATGAATAAACGTAGCCTTCTAGGTTCCTCCATGCAAAGAGTCTCCATCCAGTCTGCCAATGGTTTTTCTGCAACAAAACTGAAGAGCTAAACTGTGGGTGCACATGTGAATGTGCAGTTTGTGATCTGATCTCCGAGAGAAATAGAAAACAATTTAATTTCCACATCAATGGTACATACTGTGCATCTGCAAGATTCTAAATTTGGTGCAGACATTAAAAATGTTATTGCAGTATGACTGGGTCTCTTAAAATCTATTTTCATATTCTAAGATTCATTCTATAGTGGCAAAGCCAAGTCAATCAGTAAGAACAGACAGAAGCTAGTCACAGTCCACAAGCCCGTTAGGTCCACATGTACTGTCCTCTAAAGGCAGGTTTCTCCTGGTCACCATATTCCTGGAATATTGTCTTTTGTCTTTCTTTATTGCCTGCCATTTCCTCCACAGGTATCTGCAAATCTGATCAGTCTCTGGCACAAAATCAGGAAAAATAGCAAACATGGCTCTCAAGTGTGAGCAAGGGCAGAACCAAACCGTTTCAAAAGGCACATTAGTAGTGACACCAGGCTATTGCATTCCCCACTTCAGGATGAAATCTGACTGTTATTTACCATGATGGATGTGGTAGAGCAGAGGGAAGGCTCAGAATTTATCATGCATGTGACTGTCACATAATGAATGTTTTGTTGTTGCAGGCCACATAGTCAGTTGCAACCCTTCCCTTCTGTCATTGTGACATGAATGCAGTTATCACCAGAAGTTAAATGAAAAGGCATAGGCGGCTTCCATAATACTTTATCCACAAATCCAGGCAGCTGCCATGGCAGCTAACCTTAAAGTGTACAATTGTCGTCTTGGTGCAGAAATGTTCTTTTTAGTTTTCTTCATTTTTCAGTGGTTTGAGATTAGAGAATTCTCTCAGGTCCACAATCTGGAGAAGAGATGGATGTCATCACAGGGCCACTGCCCTTGTGCAAATGTGTGTGTGTGGTGGGGATCAAACCCAGGGTCTCTCACATTCTAGGCAAGCGCTCTTTCACTGAGCTTCATTCACAGTTTCTGCCTAAATAAAAATGTTTCTTAAGTACCAGTTAGAGCCTTTTGACAAATGTAGTGATTATTTTAAATGGTTCAAAACAAAGAGGAATCATTACATTTAGAAAGTGACCTTGAGGGAAGGGCAGTAGACATGAGTTATTAGCAAAGTTTCATTACATGTTTGCAGTAAGTTATTAGCAAAATTCTTCACTGTAGGAAGGATCACAGGGTAGGTGCAAACCACCCTATTGTAGTAGAAGTTTACAAGGAAAGAGAATTAATACAGGATATGTAATTTATAGGATTATTTCATAATAACCACCCAAAGAAAAATGCAAAAGAGTGGAAGAGGTCTATCCATGCACTATAGACCCAGAGAACCCAGCTGAGGACCTGCATACCACAGCAATGTCATGCACAAGTCCAGCTGGAGGCCTAGAGCCCACAACAATGTCTCATGTGAGCTGTACCAAGGATCTGCATTGGAAAGTCCCAAAAATCAGTGGTGAAAGAAAGAAAGTCTGCACCAATGGGATGAAAGATCTGTGCCAGCAGTCTGAGGGATCTGCACTGGAGCCAGGAAGTGAAGTACCAGAGCTCCCCCGAAAAGAACCACACTCATCTTTAGTGACAATGAGTACCTGAGCTCCTCCAATGATGAGTACATATCAGTTCATATCAGGAAATCCAGGCTTCTCCAGGAGAATCAGTAGCACACCATATCCCACTTCCATTTGGCTTTTATGTTACAGACAATGGTTCTCAGGTGGGCCTTCCACCCCAGAACCATGCTGATTCAGTTCAGCTGGATTTTACACGTTAATCGTTCACTAATCCACCACACATCCTGAGGAGAGGCCACCATGAGCATGCAGCACATGCAAGGAGAAGGTTTTATAGAAGAATCAGGCAGACACTTGCTTCTTGTTGAAGACTGAAGAGAATTTCAACAATAGCATGCTGTCACACATACAAGTGCTTTAAGCGATGATGCCATCATTCTGCTGCAACAACCTGCCCCTGCCAGCACATTTAGACATGCCAACTATACCAAACTATTTCCTTCCTCTAGAACATGCTCTCTGGAAGACCTGATCCCAGGCCTCTCCCAGAATTTATTATCTTGTGAAGAAGCGGGTAGCTCAGGGATGAGTGACAGTGAGGATGGTGAGAACTACATGAGCAACTTGAGCTGGCTGGCCAGGTGGGGAGAAAAGCATCTTTGCAAAATGCAGGGAGAATGACACGCAGAAGGATCAGTCTGCATAATTCAATTAAGGTAGAAAATGAATTGTTTCTGGAGGTTGTTGCTTCGTTTTCTGACATGTAAACTTTTGTGCCCTGGGGACTCATAGACTCTTTATCTCGAGGCTTATACCCAGGTGACATTCCTGAAGCTGACTGGCTCTGCCATTCTGCTGTGCTCATCTGTTTTATTCAGAGCACTATGCGAGGAAACAGGAGACTGTCTGATGGCTTTAGAGATTACATACCAGTACCTCAGCTGGCCTTATTTGCAATGTTTAGAGCCAATTAGAGAGAGAAGGAAATTCCATAGTGAGCTCTGTACATATCTGTATATGGAAATAAGCCTTGATATAACCAATGTTGCAGCAACTGCTCTGCATTTAAGGGGATCACTCAAGTTGTCTCCTACACTTACATAGGAGAAACAATGCAATATTTAACTTTCTGGATCTACCCTGGGCCTGGAATACCCCTAAGCTTGCAGCAACCAGTGTGGAAGAGCAACCAAGGAGCTGCAGATAGTCACTTGGGGATGGGGAAGGCCTGGGCATCAGTGGACTCTAACATATGGGGAAGGTTACTGACTGTACCGGAACTTGAAGGAAAGCATGTCATTTTATTACAACATCACCCTTGACACTGATGTACAAATTCTTTCATGCCGAGTCTTTCAATCCAGCTCTTAGCTTTGGTGCATATTTCTCTGATTTGTATCCAGGTATTTCATTCCCAACTCTGCTAAACTCTGCTAAAACTCTATCACTGTTTACAAACACTGTCCTTCTATGTGGCCACGTGTCCTGTCCCCCTCCGCATTGTTCTGACAGCCCCTAACCTGCCATAAACAGCTGCTTCTCATGGACACTCCTCTACTGTCGCCTGCACCTGGTCTCTGCTCGTCTCCCTCCCAGAGCAGCTGCCAAACACTGCCTTCCTGGCTGTGCAGCAGGAGGCTCAGAACTTTCTTCATGAGTTTTTCCTCACTTCAGATCTTGTTGACCAGATACATCCCTCCCTGCAATGAAGATAACTATATCAGAACAGTGTTCACTTGAGAGATTGTAAAGCTTACAGTCAGCTCTCATTATCTTTTGAAGCCAGAGTTTCCTAGAGAACTGTACTTGGCCCTTATAAACACTGGGAAGACTGAGCCACATCTTCTGTATCCTACTCGAGGAACCCACAATGGAAGGCAGCAACATATGGCACTCGATGGCTATTAAAACACTCCATGAGCACTCTCTCCAGTGTAGGAATTTTATTCTGGCTCTGCTACTGCGGAAATCTATAATCTTTTATCTGACTATATCTCCCCAAGCCACCTCTGGTCATGGTTAGTTGCTCGTTGATGCCTGAAGTTCACTTCCATAGATGGAACTAGGTCTGTGTCTAACACGTAGGCTTTACTACAAAGCCTCTGTGGACAGGAAACTCTTAGAGTCCTGAACAGAACTATTCACACTCTCCTGGGACAGAGTAGAAAGGAAGGAGGGTTTGTGGTACAGGAAAATTCCTGACACACAGTGGTGAAACCATCAGGTATGGACAGAGATGAAAAACTGGGCAGGATTTGGGTTCTCTGAAAAAATGCAGACTCAGTCTTGAGCTCTGTGGCCTAGCAACTGAGAGAGCTCCTCGTGGACTGAGGCTAAGTTTGTAGAGTAACCCTCCCTTTTTTGTCCCTTGGGGCCGAATCGTTTTTTATACACCAACTAAGTCCCTTCAGCACCTGCCTTGGGTTTGTACTGATTTGCATAATGGGCAGCTCTCAGCAACATGAGAATAAGAGAAGCCAGGTAGGATGCCAGCCCAGGCTGGATCTCACGAAGCTGTACCAAGGGTGCCTCTACCATGGCCTGGACGCTCCTGCTCCTCAGCCTCCTCACTCACTGCATAGGTGCTACCTCAAGCCCTCCACCCATCCTCTCAACCCAGGGCCTGGAATCAGCTTTGCCCTGACTTAACTCAGCAAGGCCCTGCCTGTGTGGGCAGAATGCTCAGGAACCTGCTGCACGATGGGAGTTATGGGTCTGAGATCCTCACGCTGTGTTCATTGGTTTATGTGATCCTCAAAGGGCTTCAGTTGTCAGGAGAGAGGTGTGTGTGTGGCCCTGCATTTAAAGGCTCCATCCTCCAGCCAGGATCACAGGCCAATGGAGCCAGCCTGATATCAGGGGTTGCCCTGTGGGCCCACAGAATCTTCACAGGTCCTGCAGGAAACTAGGGTGGTATTGTATAAGAAGGGGCCTCTATCTTCACACTCAAGTTTCCTTTTATCTCTTTGCAGGATCCATGGCCTTCTACAAGCTAACTCAGCCATCATCACTGTCCGTGACATGGGGAAAGACAGCCAGGATCACTTGCCAGGCATACGGCCTACGAAGCTATGCTGTGAACTGGTACCAGCAGAAGCCAGGCCAGGCTCCTGTACTGATCATCTATTATGATGATAGCAAGCCTGCCGGGATCCCTAACCGATTCTCAGGTTCCAACAAAGGGAACACAGCCACCCTGACCATCAGCAGGGCCCTATTTGAGGACGAGGCTGACTACTATTGTCAGGTGCGGGACAACAGTGATGGAGCTCACAGTAACACAGGCAGATGGGGAAATGAGACACAAACCCGCCACCTGTTTGGCTCCCATGGCTGCTGTCTGCCCTGGTGACAGTAACAGGGGAGAGCCTGCCACATGACATAATGGTTGTTATTTCTACCCTGCCTCATATTCCTGACTGATAAGGGAAGGTTCCTGGATCTCTCCAGGCTGTTGCATAGTTAATGCATTTGAATTGTCATATCCCTAAATCCAGAAAAAAAAAAAAAAAAACTCTGTCACTCGACACCCATGACTACAAGCAGTAAGAAAGAATAATCCTCAGACAGCATCATCTAACTGACTCGGGAGAGAGAGATCATCAAAATTATTAATAAAGTTGGTGACCTGCACATCAGGGGATTCATGCAAAATTTATATACAAGAAAGTGGCTAGAATTCAGTCACATCTATGGCATAATAGAAACAGAAAAGGGACATGGGAAAGAAGGTCTTGCAGTGAGCCTTGATTTGTAAACATTTATTTCATAACCAAAAAAAATCACCCGGGAGAAAGCTGTGTGATCAGTGCAGTATCTGGTTTTGTAGATTTTCAGAAGGGTCTTGAAGCAGAGTGACTCAGGTGATGTTTACACCTTGCTGGGCATGAGGGACTTGAGTCCAGTGGTGAAACTGACACAGCTGTGTTCTCAGTGCCAACAACAAATGCCTAGTGCAGGATGACAATGACTATGAGACAGGGAGGGGAGTGTGATGTTCTCTCTCTCTCTCACACACACACACACACACACACACACAACTCCAAGTGCAGGGCAGAGAGGTGCTGGGTCAGCTGGACTCAGTCCCCTACCCAGAAGAGAAATTGCCTTATTATGAACGCTGGGAATAGGGTAGCTCCCAGATGGAGGGAACCATGGCAACCTGGGCTTTAGCCTGGACTGGAAGTGTGGAACCTGGCCCAACCCGTTCCAGCTCTCTCCCAGCACCATTCCCAGGCCCCTTCCCTTTTTTCCCATCGCGCTTACTTTCTCCCTCACCTCCATGATTTCTGCTCCTTCTGCCCCTGTCCCAAGTCCTATCTTTTGTAGAATGGCAGGGTGTTTTTCTGCCTCTGTACTCTTTCCGAGTGATCCATATTGAGACCTGCTGATAAAACCACGGAAACAAAATATTTACATAAAATGGGAAATTGTTACCAAGAAAAACCTAAATAAGTCTTCTAGTTTCACTTGCTCTTTGGAATCTTAAAAATCTGTAATTCTAGAGATCACACACCTGGGTAATTCACTATTCGTTATCCACTCTGATTGCTTGTAGGTTATAATAACAATTGCTTAAGTTACTTTCCAGGGACATGAAATCCACTTTTGTTCAAAGTACTAGCCCTTCACTTGACTTTCAGAAATCTGATGAGTGATTAAAATAGAATAAACAACACTGGCATCTTTGTTCTAAAGGGTCTAGCCCCTTTCCTTTCTTAACCCTTCCTTCAGATTCTGCTCAGAGCTGCACTTAAACATGTTGATCATTTTTTTAAATGTATCCAACATTATAATACAGGGTCACCTTGGTCCACTGCTCACTACTATGTGCTCTGTGTGTTTTCTTCTCCCCTCTCTTTTTCTCACCCACACCCTTGTGCTTCTCCAGCTGTCACAACAACCCAAGACCGAAGGTTCTTCAGCCCCGCCACAGGGTCCAGACTCACAAGCCCAGGATATCTTGTGCGTGATGATGGCTCCCATTACAGAATAACTCAGAAATTCTTAGGACAAGTTAACTGTGGTCACCAAGTGATCCAAGTTCTTCACAAGAAGAAATATCTGTGGAAGCCATGCCATGCCCCAGTCAATGAAAATTAGTGGACATTACTCCCCCTTGGCAAATCAATAAAAAAAAAACCCAGTGCTCTCTCTGTTAC